GTGCGTCTGCCTCCGAGTTATCACACAAGGCTATTTGCTCATGGTTTTGCAGCTTTATAGGAAAAATACTCTCAAGAGGCTACAAGGACCTTGATTTCACTGGCAGCCTTTTAGACCTTGTATTCTTCTTAGGCAGAATTATGGTGAGCCACTGGAATGGGTTGCCCAGGGAAGTTGTGAATGCTCCATCCCTGGTAGTGTTTAAGGCCAGGTTGGACAGATCCTTGGGTGACATGGTTTAGTGTGAGGTGTCCCTGCCCCTGGCAGGGGGGTTGGAACTAGATGATCTTAAGGGCCTTTCCAACCCTAACTATTCTATGATTCTATGATTCTAAGCTCTTCCCTTTTGAGGGTGCTGAGGCACTGGCACAGGTTGCCCAGAGAAGCTGTGGCTGCCCCATCCCTGGCAGTGTTCAAGGCCAGGTTGGATGGGGCTTGGAGCAACCTGGTCTGGTGGAAGGTGTCCCTGCGCATGGCAGGGGGGTGGAATTGGATGAGATTTAATGTCCCTTCCAACCCAACCATTCTATGATTCTAGGAGGAGTATTTCTGCTAAAAATGAGTCCTGCATGGTATCAGACCTTCCTGAGTGAGTAAGATGGAAAATTGCAAGTATTTTATAAGCCACCAGAGAATATGCAAACAGTCCCCTTAAATGGACATAACAGACCATGTTCAACACATTCCATGTGTATAAACTCATAAAGATCTATTGAAAGTGTGGTCAGGTGTTGACCTGGAAGCTTTGGGGGTTAAATATAACTGACATGATGGGTTCATTTTGTATTTTTCTTATTCAAAGCAGAACTTCAGTTCTTAACAGTTGGTGGGTCAGAAGCTGGGAGACCTCTTTCTCTCACAGAATAAACCAAACCAAGACATGGACAATCTAAGTACTTAAACAGCTGCAGAGAAAGGAAAGTCGGGCAGGTAGCCACCTTGGCATTATCTTAAAAGGTGAATGTGGCAGCGAGCCATTAGCACAGTGTTTATCTGCAGTCTGGTGGGTAAAGTAACTGAATCTTCTGTAAATGTGCCGGACTAGAGCTCATTAGCTCTCCAGTTTCACCTCCACCCGTGATCTCTGCCATCTCACTGTGTGACCTTGGGCAGCATGTTTCATCTCGTTTGAATCAGAAAAAAATGGAACTGGAGTGTCAGTTTCTCTGAGTGGCACTGGGAAGAGAAAGCTCGAGGGGATACAGAGCACAGTGTTCCAGCTCAAAAGGATCTGGCAGATGCTGTGGTCTGAGGTACTGCTGATCTGCATGTTCAGTGAAGAAAGCCTTGGTATTTTAACTTCTGCTGGCTCTTGAAACAACAGATCCAACTTTTGCGTAGCTTTTGTGAAACAGAGCTAGGCTAAGTGTAAAAGGATTTTCTGTGTTCAGTTCTGGGGCCCTCACTACAAGAGAGACATTGAGGTGCTGGAGCGGCTCCAGAGAAGGGCAACGGAGCTGGTGAAGGGTCTGAAGCACAAGTGTGATGAGGAACGGCTGAGGGAACTGGGGGGTTTAGTTTGGAGAAGAGAAGGCTCAGGGGGAACCTTATCACTCTCTACAGCTACCTGAAACGAGGATGCAGTGAGGTGGGGTTGCTGTCTTCTCCCACATAACAAATGACAGAACAAGAGGTAACGGCCTCAAGCTGCCAGGGAAGATTTAGACTGGATATTAGGAACAATTCCTTCCCCAGAGGGTGCTCAGGCATTGGAACAGGCTGCCCAGCACAATGGTGGAGACACCGTCTCTGGAAGAGTTCACAAACCGTGTAGATGAGGCCCTCAGTGACATGGTTTAGTGGCAGCCTTGGCAGTGCTGGGGAATGGTTGGACTTGATGTTCTTAAAGGTCTTTTCCAACCTGGCTGATCCTATGATTCTATAAATTCTATGATTCTACGCAGTGACAGAGGTGAAAGCTAGCCCTGAGCACTGCTCTGGAGCAGATCAGCATGTCTGTTCCCAGCACTGATGGCTGCAGATCCTCCTCTTTCTCTCAGCTCCACTCAGTGACATGGGCTGGACCGAAGCCCAGTTCTAGAAAGTGGAAATACACTTCCACAAGGCTTTAGATACAGCTCTAGAAAGCAGGTGAACTTTGCTGATGAATTTTTAGAAGAGTCTCTTTAATGTTTAAACAATGCTAGTTTTCTAATGATTGTTGAACACATGTGTAAGAGGGCTGGAAAGAATCTTAGTGAGACAATGCAGAAAGAGATGGGCTGGCTCCATGATGCTGGTTTCTGCTGCACCATGATCTTCTTCCTGCATGGGGATGAGTCTATCCCAGCATCTCCAAGACAGGCCACAGAATCTTCTGGCCTCACTGACTACACAATTGACACAAACCTCCCATGCAGCTTCTTCAGAGGTCAGCTGCTTTTGTAGTAAGGTAAATAGGAATAACAATACCTGGAACAATCCAAACAAGTTTTTTTTTCTGCACCAGCTCACTTGAAATTCTATTGTGTTTTTCGAACTTATGCCCAGAGTCGAAGAATAAAAGTTGAGAGGCAGAGATAGTCTGCAGTGAAAAGCCCTTCGTAATGGGAGAAGTGGAGGATGAATGGTATCTATCTCCAGACCAGGTGTCCTTCTGGCAGATGTTCTCCGCTGTAACTACAGAGACTGGCAGGAGTTCCTGGGATGACCTGCTAGGGGGTGAGAACTTCTTTCTGAGCAGCTCCAGTGAGAAATACTGAGGGTTGAATGCCAGCCCTTGAAGCAAGCCCCACTCCTAGGTGGTGGAAGAATAGCAAGACGCTTCACGGCCTTGGGAATGCCAGGGAGTGCTGGCTCTGTGTCAGGACAAAAGGCAGCCTAAGACACTGGAAAACACCAAGGTGACCTTTTAGTGGCAGGAATCATAGAATCATAGAACAGTTTGGACCTTAAACCTCCTCCAGTCGCAACCCCCTGCCACAGGCAGGGACACCTTCCACCAGACCAAGTTGCTCCAAGCCCCATCCGACCTGGCCTTGAACACTGCCAGGGATGGGGCAGCCACAGCTTCTCTGGGCAACCTGTGCCAGCGCCTCAGCACCCTCACAGGGAAGAGCTTCTGCCTAAGAGCTCATCTCAATCTCCCCTCTGTCAGGTTAAAGCCATTCCCCCTTGTCCTGTCCCTACAGGCCCTTGTCCAAAGCCCCTCTCCAGGTTTCTTGTAGCCCTTTTAGGTACTCGATGCTGCTCTAAGCAGAAAATGTGAATTCTAGAGAGGGCTGCCCAGCAGAGAAAAGGATGGGATGTTACTCACCCAACTAGCTTTTACAACTAGAACAAACGGAAAACTACTGCAATTAGGCCATAAAGTAGTAGTGGGCTAGTGTAAGTTTTGTAGCAAGAGAATGGAAATACCTTTTTACTTTTTTCTTCTGTTTCCTCTGAGGAAACTTCACAGTGATGGAAGAACAGGAGACAAATACCATTTCTCTGAAAAAAAAAATATCCCAACCCACGTTGCATTCTGAATGCGAAAAAGCAGCATTTATTTATAAAGAACGCAGACGCTGCAGGCCTTGATAACTCTGTTGTTCACCGAGCAGTGTCAGGCTGGGCTCCTTGGTCTGAGAGAGCACAGCAGATCACTTCGGGAAACATGCTGATCAGAAACAGGACCGCAGCTTCCTGAAATGTCTGCCCAAATAAGGGGATGCTCTACAGCTGGAAGTGATAAGGAGGCAGGAAAAGAAAAAGTTGTGGTGAACGGGAGTGTGATGTTTTTCAGTAACATCACACAAAGCAGCAGCTGGTCCCTAGGAAGATCTTGAAAGGAGGCTTTGAAGGTGCAAAACTTTCTCAGGCTGGGCTTCCAAATCCTCCACCATTTCTTGCAGCCACATGTTCCTCTTGCTCCAGGACCAGGCACCTACTCAGCAGCTGTATCTTCCACCCCAAAGGGGCCGCAGGTTGAGCATCTCTACCACCAGCAGAGCCATGTCCTCAGAGACCCTCACCAGATGGTGACAACTATATCGTACAGCCTCGTGGTCTGACAAACAGGGTCCACTCACAGCACGCACTCTGAAGCACAGAGCAAGCACAATCCCCTCAAGATTCATGAAACAACATTCAGATTTTTCAAACATACAGTAGGAGAAAAAAAGGCGGAGAGGTGAGAATGCACCTCAATGCCACCGAGCTGGATGGTTACCTTTTACCTTGCAAGGAGAATCCAGTTATGGGAACATTTAATAGAATCATAGAATCCCAGACTGGTTTGGGTTGAAAGGATGTTAAAACCTCATCCAGTTCCAACCCCCTGCCATGGGCAGGGACACCTTCCACTAGACCAGGTTGCTCCAAGCCCCTGTGTCCAACCTGGCCTTGAACACTGCCAGGGATGGGGCAGCCACAGCTTCTCTGGGCAAACTGTGCCAGTGCCTCAGCACCCTCACAGGGAAGAACTTCTGCCTAAGAGCTCATCTCAGTCTCCCCTCTGTCAGGTTAAAGCCATTCCCCATTGTCCTGTCCCTACAGGCGCTTGTCCAAAGCCCCTCTCCAGGTTTCTTGTAGCCCCTTTAGGCAATGGGAGCTGCTCTAAGGTCTCCCCTTAAGGCACCTTCTCTTCTCCAGGCTGAACAAGCCCAGCAGAAAGTGCAAGTTTGCAGCTGTGTAACAAATCAAACCTCGGCGCAATGCAGCGACTGTTTAAGGACAGGGTGAGCGGACACCTCAGCTCATGAAGTCCTGAGCCCACTGTGATCTCTGGTCTGGGCCCAGTTTGGGAGCTGCAGCTCTGCTGCCTCTACCCCAGCCCCCAGGCGGGTTCCTGCTCCTCAAGGGCCGGTGCCACGCTGGCAAGCTCCTGAGGTACAATCCCCGCCAGCCCCGGCCCCAGACCAGCCCCACGCGGCTAGGCCGGCAGACGCCTGCACCCCGCTCCGCGACATGGCGGCGGGCGCGCACGTGGCGGGGGCCGGGCCAGCCCCTCTCCCCTCACGGCCCGCAGCACAATGGACAGCGCTCTGCGGCGCCGCGCGGGGAGGGGCCGGCGGCGGGGCGGGGCTGGCTCGCGCGGCGGTTGAAGCGGCGCTTGGAGCCGGCGGGAGCGGCGCTGTCCGGACGGGGATTGCGCTCGGGACGGGGGCCGCCGCGCTCGGGATGGGCCCGGCTGGGTCCCGTCGTGCCCGCGGTGAGGGGGGGGGCGCGGTGGCGGGACGGGACGGGACTCGACTCTTCCTCTGCGGGGGTCTCTCGGGGCGGCTCTGTGAGGGAGGGCGGCCGCTGTACCTCACGGCGTGCACAGTGTGGCGGAGCCGGGGGACGCGGGGCGCTGCCGGTGTTAAGGTGCCGGGAGCCGTGTCCGTGCGGCTGTGGGTAGCTGAGCGGGACATTCTAGCCCTAATGCTGTGGGGATTAGGGAGGGAGCGGGTGAGCCGCTCCCCGCGGCGGGCCGGGGCTGACTGAGGCTCGCTCCGGCTTGAACACCAGAAGCGGGTTTCGAGTTCGCTGGTTCGTGTTGGCGTGGGGAGGGAGCAGCGAGCGGGACCCTCCCTTCGGCTGTGTCGGGCTCGGGAGCGGCGCCTCCGGCCCCAGCCCACCCTCCGTGCCCCTGCAAGTCCAAAAAGCCACCCAAAAGCGGCCCTGGGGTGTTTGTGTGCTCAAAGGCTGGCTCTGGTAAAGTGCTGCCAAAGGTACTGATGGATTTGGGTCAACTCTATAAAACCCCGGGGGATGGAGGGCAGGGTTAAGCCATGTGCTGTACCTGGGTCACTTGGTTTAATTCTCCCAAGTAGTGGATTTGGCTTCCGGGTGGCAGGATGGGATTGTGGTGGTGACACCACTGAGCTGAGGGGGTTCATGTGCATAAAGAAACTTCACTGAGGAGGAGCCGAGATGTTTTGTGCTGGGGCTTTGCTGCATTAAGTGATCTGCCCACTGGAGCTGCTCTTGGTTTACGGGTTAAGCTGAAGTGCGGCTCTGTTCCTAAATTGAACGTGAGTATTGAGCAGTTGACAATAGCACTGATGGACAAAGTGGCATACATAGTGGGAGTTCTGATGGAGTAGAGGGTGCAGAACAAGGGGCTTTCCTTCAGGAATGCTTGCGTACTGCTGCAGGTTGGCAAATATCAGTAATTTTGTCTGTGGCTGTGCATAGTAGGTCAGTTGGTGGTTCTTTGGTGAGAAAATTGACTTATGGAGGTGTGGAAGCATTAGTCATGAAGCTTAGCTTGATATATACAAGGCTTAGAGAGCAGAATGCTGTATGCTGTTCCTTTTTCTTCTTCCCCTCTCAGCCAAAGAGACTGTTCCTCATGGTGCTGTGAAGAATGTGTAAATGCTGTTGTTTGAATGTTTGTGCTCTTGGCCTTGAATTATAGTCTACAGAAGAACCCCAGGTATCTCTGCAAGGTGTACAGAGTGGTGGCCAGGCTCTGTGCTGCTTCACCCTGGGGCCACAGCAGTTTCTCAGGGGTAAGATGAAGTTCTGCTTGAGAAAAATGTCTGCTTCTAAAAGATAGTAAAGACTTATGCTGGCACCATTCTGCTTTGAGGCTTCCTTATGTCAAGCTGTGAAAGACTTGGTCTCAAGTTCTTGTGTGAAAGAGTTCTAATGAATATTCTACAGCTTGGTACCTTCTAATCATGGAATGGTTTGGGTTGGAAGGGACCTTAAAGCTCACCCAGTTCCAACCCCTTGCCATGGACAGCGACACCTTCCGCAAGACCAGGTTACTCCAAACCCTGTCCAGCCTGGCCCTAAACACTGCCAGGGATGGGAAGATGTTGTTGTTACATGTGTAAAGCATCAGCTATTGTGTCAACATCTATGGAGTGAAAGGCATCTCGGCAGAGGAAGTATTAGACACCTTTCTCTCCATCTTACTCTAAAAGCCCTGCAGAGTCCCCCTTTTTCTAATTGGCAATACCAACTTAGCTGGCTGCTGCAGCTGCCTTTCACATGCTGCAATAGTAGTTGAGGAAGTCTGGAATTCTGCTATTTTCAGCAGTTCTTTGTCAACAGCAACTCAAGAAAACTGCTCAGTTCTCTTTCAGCTGAAAGGAAGCCACCACAGGTGGGAGAAGTTAATAAAGTCACTTGCTGCCCAGTTTCACCCTTCAACAGGCAGCTCTAATGTGGAAAGAGCTGAGTGAGTTTGTATTAGCCCAGGTGAGAAGCAGAGGCTTGGGGCTTTATATATATTTGATATATAAACTCAATTTCTGATTTCCAACCATCTGCATGTTCTGTATTCCATCAAATAAACCTCTCCTACAAATAGAATAAAATTTAAGCATATGGAAAACCACTTAGGTACACAGTTGATGATTCTAAGTAAAATGGAAACACGGTTGATATCCCTGCCTCTTCCCTTTGCTGTGTGTGTAGTGATATGTGTTCCTTTTGGGAGCATGTGCAGTCTCCAAGCTGAGCTGATCTGTAGTGGTAGCTTTGAGTGCTGTGTGTTTGCTGCTTCTGGTTAAGAATTTGTTTTTTCTGAAATGCTCCCCAAGTTACTGCAGAGAAATGCCTGTGCCATCAGGGCTTTGTATCCTTCCATGTCACGCCCCCTTCCCTGCTCTCCTCCCCTGGTACAGTGCCAGCTGGTGTAGCTCAAGCTTATAATTGACTCTCTGCCTTTTAGGGTTTCGTTCTTTAGCTCACGTGTGAGTTACTGTATGGGATGTGGTGAAGGGTACACACAGGCTTTGCAGGGAGTTGCAGCCTGTTGGGTCTCCGTGCTGCTGGCACTGCTGTCAGCATGTCATAGGATGCTTTGTTCAATGTGGCAGCTGCTGCTGCTCACCTCTGTGTTCAGGTGTGCAATAGGTGAGACAATATCTAATTGGGATTGTTAAAGTTATTGTGAGATGTTTTGATTCAGTGTATTGGCAGCTTCAGTTTCTGAATTGTTGCCAACTGCACTGGGCTTGGCTTGCTGAAATGATGCCCTTCCCTGGTGCTACCCTGTGTGTGGCTACAGGTCTGCCTCTGGCTGTGGGTTGGGGTTTCCAAGTGATTAGGCTGTAGTTTAGTGAGTTGCTGCTCTTCAGCAGAGCTGTGGCTCTTAATACGTGCTTTTAGCCCAGTGCAAATGCAAAGTAAGCAGGTAGCCTGGGCCATTGGAGGCTGGAGTTGTATGATGGGTGTTGATAGGAGCAGGCTTATTCTGTAGTTGTGTAGTTTCTTTCTGGTTTTCCTTAGAAGGTGGTCAAAATCATCTGTTTATAACTTGAGTGGAATACATGAGAACTTTAAAAACATGTCTGTCTTTTTGGTGCTAAAGCTCTATGAGGATATGTGTCTTCAGCTAATATGGCGCAGCTGCCTGGTGGTAACAGCTGACAATCTTGTAATTATCACAGAATCTCAGACAGATTTGGGTTGGAAGGGACCTTAAAGCTCCTCCAGTTCCAACCTCCTGCCCTGGGCAGGGACACCTTCCACTAGACCAGGTTGCTCCAATACTCATCCAACCTGGCCTTGAACACTGTCAGGGATGGGGCATCCGGTTCTATCAATGCTAATCACCATCTGTATCTGTGAACAGCTTTCACTGCTTTTCTGATTCAATTTTTCTTTTTTTCCCCAGGAATTCTAGCTGGAGTGCCCCTTGCTTTGAGAAGCAGAATGACTGTCTCGTGGCACTGTTCTGAGGAAAGGGCATAGAAAGTCTGTCACTGCTCTTTGCCTAAGGTATGCAAGGTTTCTAGGGCAGGAGTGAGTTATCAGCTGTCTGTCTTCCACAGCTTCCCATGGATATAATAATCACTGATGCTTTTTCTCAAGCTTCCCTAAGCTAGAGGAGTACAGGGCAATAAACCTGTGACAATCAGTTTTGCAGTTGCTGGGGACCAACGGAGGTATTCAAGCAGTATGGATAAAGCTGTTGAAGTATAGCTTGTGCCATCCAGTTCTGTTGGTGGTGGCTTTGTTTGTGGGCTGTAGGTGATTTCTAGACTGGTCTGTCCTGAGACCTCCTCCTACAGAAGTGCAGGAGTTCCTGGTTTAGCAGGTGAGGTCAGAACAGGGAGCAAGTTACAGCTAAAAATGTTTGAGGCTTTTCTTGCTATATTTGCACTTCCTCAGAAGGTTCCTGCACAGCCAAGGCATGGTTCTTGCATCATCATATTACAGCATTGCATTACAAGGTGCCCTGTGCCTCTTGGCTTGGGTATCTGATAAATGATAGCAGCCTGGGCTTCCTGGGTGTTTGCTCACCCCTGTCTGCTCACTTCAGCGGGAGTTGGATGCTCTGCTGATGCATTCTGCATGCATTTCGGTGTGGACTGGGTTTTAGCACCAGTAAAACTGCTGGAGATCCAGCAAGTCCTGAACATTGCTGCTTGGGTAATGTGATCCTCTGCAGAGTAACTGTCTGATTGCAAGTCCCTTCTACAAACACTCCCTGTTCACAGGTACTCCTACTTTTTGAAGTCTCTTTCCCCTCTCCCTGGCTTAGATTTTACCGTGTAATGGCATTTTGCAGCAGTCTTTCTGAGGGATGGTCTATTGCTGTTTGCCTTTTAATTCATGTTTCTCCTCCATTTTTGGGCTTAAAATACCAGGGATAAGTTGACTTAATGCTCTGACTGTTGAGTTCACTGCGTCATGTTGCCGAGGGCTGTATCTGCTTAGCAGTAGAATTTGAGTGGGGTGGAATCAGCATCATGTCTCAAACAAGCTGTCCAGCCTTTTGTGTTTCTGATGTTCATAGATCATATTAATAGAAACAATATAATGGAACCTAAAGGAATCACAGAAAGCAGCCTAATAACTGCCTTTAAATGGTCTCTGTACTTCCTTGAGATGCTGGTTATTGATGTATATTTGAGGGTTAAAGCTCCAGCAAGAGAGTCTGAGGGAGGAATCCTGATGAGCACAGTGAGAGGAGGCTTGGAGAAATGAAATGCTGAGAACGGAATTGTTTCCATTGCATGCAGTTATTGCCTCAGTTCAGCTGGAAGCAGTGGGCATCCAGTCAGTGGGATGTGATTGCTAGCTTAGCATCAGGCATGTTCTTTAGGCATGCTGCTTCCTTTTCTTTTAGTGGGTTAAAACAACTGAATGCTACTTTGTGCACCACAGCATTTAAACCACCAAGATATAGGAAGCTGTGGAAGCTTTCAACAAGGGGCATTTTGCATAGCGATTACGAATTTAATGCAGAAAAGTGAGGTAGGGAGCACAACTGCCATTTCAGCCTTGCAGGGCTCCTAAAACAGGCTCCTTCTCCAGAGTACAATTGATTCTGGCTTTACATCTGTTTTGTGCTTTAATTATTATGAGTTTTGTTGGAGCTCCAGGTTGAAGTTACTGCAGTAGTGTTGGAAAGTAGCAAAGGATGCTACCACATGCTGGATTGGGACTGCAGAGACTTACCTTTCGTTCTGTCTCTGCCACTGACTTGTTAAGCAAGATACTGTACCTAACATGCCTACTCTCTATCTGTGAGAAAGAGTTAAGGCTTCTAGCAAGTTGTGAGAGAATTGTTGGGATGTATTGTAGTGGTTGGTGTAAGGGTTCTGAAATTTTCCAACTTCTTTTTATTACAGGTGTGTAGTAAAAATGGTGCAGAAATACCAGTCCCCAGTTCGGGTCTACAAGTATCCTTTTGAGCTCGTCATGGCAGTGAGTAACACTCAGCACTTTTACTTCTCCAGCTGCTAAGGGCTGTGACCTCAGGCCAGTGGGGGGGGTGACTGCAGCTTTGGCTAACATGTCTTTGTGGCAACCTTATGAGTACGCTGCAGGAACAGAGATTCAGCTCTCATTATCTTTTTGTCCTTTCTTCTGTTTTCCATGAAAAATAAGAATCAACATCTTAGAACTGTAAGAGAGACATTACAGGGGAAGGGGGGAAGAAGCCCTCCCAAAATAACAAATCTAAGCCTGCTGTAATTACCCTTTCACAAGGAAGGAAAAAATTGTGACATTCAGGTAGGCAGAGTCAGTTTGTGTCCAGACAGTCTTTGCCTGATCACCAGATGCCATTCAGTTTAGAATGTCTCTAGATATGATCCAAATCAGTATTGTAGGATGTGTGTATCTAGAATTTGATTCTAAATCATACTGAGCTTTCTGGCTGAAAGCTAGAAATCTTTAGAAAAATCATTTTCTGTTCACTCTGTGATTGGAATGTTGGGAGAGATCTCTTCAAATTGTGATTCCTACAAGAGGCTGTACTTGAAGTTCTGCTGATGATGCAGAAAGCTAATGTGACCATGGCAGTGTCCTTAGAGTTTAAAGACATTTCTGATATTCTGGACTTTGCTGCTGCTCCTCAAGGTGTGAGTCAAATATCATTCTGAAGGGCTTGCTGCTTGCATTTCAAGGGCAGCACTAGCATTTGGGAATTTATCTAAGTATTTATCTGCTTGCAGACTCTTGCAAAGCTTTGTTTTGTAATCTGTTGGGCATTTCAGTCTGCTGGAGGCAAACTTAGTATGTGCCACTTTGCTGCTTTCTCCATCTTCTCCCCTGCTGAACAAGGACACCAGTTTTCTTTAGTTTATTAGGGATCAAGAGTGAAGGTGGAAAGCTTATAGCCATTTGAGGTAGCTGACATTTACATAAAAGGGAGAGCCTGACTTAATACGCTGCATTCCTCTTGACAGTCTTGCCTCTTCTAGATTCAAGTGCCAAAAGATGTGTTTTATCCCAAGTGGCCTCCTTCTATTTCAATAGTTAAAACTCAGGGAGAGATTCTATTGGTCTTAAATGTGACTAATGGACCCCAAAGGTTCCTCAGCTCAGAGTGGTTGCCATTCATATAATGCTCTCTGATCATCCAAATAAACACTTTTTTTTGACAGTTGGACTCCCTCCCTAATCCCCCTCTGCTTATTTTTTCCAGTCTTACCCAGATTTGCCATGTCTGTTAACAGCTGAGCCAGTAACATGCTGTAAAATCACTCCAGCGAGTCTGGGGCTGATGTTTGTGATAGTGAAACTTTCCTGGCCATGTGCTTTCTGCTCTCAGTGCATCCTGAATTAGATTTAGAGCAATGTCTTCATAACAAGCCCTGGTGTTGTCTTTGCTCTGTGCATACCTTTCCACATTCTTGTTGTCTATATTAGCAGGATAAGCCTAACACCAGATGCCTGTCAATAGACTGGCTGCTAATATAGGAAGGCTGTCTCTAGACAAATCTTCTGTAAGCTTGTTAGCAGAAAGCCTAAAGGCAGCAGTTTGATGGGTTTTGTTTTCAAGTGGTTTAGTTTTATTTGCTTTCAGTTTTTCAACATAACAGGACTTAAATTCCCTGGGTTTTCAGGATGAGGATTGTAAATGTCATCCTCTTGTTCTTCAGCAAACTCAAATTCCCATTACCTTAGCAAAGATATTAGTCCTCTTTCATATGAAGATCAAGTTACTTGTCCAGGGTCATCCAAAGGGCTGTGGTGGAGTAGGGAGCTGAATATAGACCCCTTTAGTCCCACTCTAATGTCCTGTGAAATCATGTGTTTGCAGCAGGATTTGCTTTCTTACCAAGACTGGCATTACAAAGCAGCTTTCAAATCTAGTGGCAGGGCATGCAGGCTGGGTTGGATGCAGCTTTGTTATTGTGTTTGTGTTCAGATGGCTCTTCCATGCGTGTGGAGGCATTGCAGGCATCACAGAGCTGTCAGGTGCTTGCTGTCAGCTGCTGGAAGTTCTGCAGGGAGAGTGGGTGTGCAGTGAAGGTGTTTTGCTCTTCAGCACGTGGCATTGCTGTTAATCTGCTTCGACATAAATCTGACAGCAGCTTCCTCTGCACTGGCAATCTGCTGTTCAGCTGCTTTCATCTTTTTCCCCTCAAATGCTTGGTGTGAACCTTTTGGAGTGCTGAGGGCTTATACTGTGGTTAATGGTAGGAAAGCAGGGGTCGTATGGGTGGACTCAAGACACCTTATTTTATGTGTCCTTGTGCACCCTGCAGCCTGATACACTTGGGCTTGTATATCATCTGTATATCAGGAAGGGTCATGCTTCCTGTGATCTGTTCAGGCTCTGTCATGAGGGAAGTGGTGTTTGTTAGGGGAAATATTTTTTCTCCCAGAACCTTGGATATTTGGACCCCACTACAGAAAACTGTGTGTGCTTCGTTGAGATAGGAGGCCTGAGAAATAGGGTTGTCATAGCCAAATGAGGCAATGGCTTCATTGCTTCCTTGTTCAGACGCACATAAAAACACGTCTTTTGTTGAGCCTTGCCTTCAGTTTCAATTTATCTTCCTTGGGCTTGTACAGGGTGTATGTGTGTGCTGCTCCTCCTCTAGACAGCACAGGGCTGTGCTTGACAGATGAGCTGGTGCTCTTACAGTTAATACCTTTGTTATTGCATATCTATGGGTAATTGTTTATGGGTTTACACTAACTAATGCTTGTGCAGCTTGGGTTCTGGCATTCACAGGCAGTAGGTTTGACATATCTTCCAAGTTCTTGGAAGGAGGATCATGTTCCCCCTTCTTGCTCTCTTTGCCGGTCCTATACATCTGAGGAACTAAAAAGGAATCTGCTTGCCAAGCCTCTTGTGGTCATTCAGGAGCTCTGAATTTTTTCTTGTTAGAAGAACCCTCCCTTCTAAAAAGGCTTAAACAAAGGATAATCTTTCCACATCTATTCTAATTCACAGTACTCATATTCACCTGCTTTGTTCCTAACCTGCACTCACTTTAAAGAATCAAAAATGTCATGCTCTTCAAATTATAACCAGTGCCTGACAGCTTCATCCCTTAAAAAGAACCTTGGTGTTTTGTTATCTCGTCATGTTTCTCCTTTCAATTTTATCTCTTCTATTTTGCATCTCTTTTTAAATGGGGCTGCCCCTTTAAACAGCCTGTCCATGCTTCTTTGGGCCTGATCTTGTCTTCAATTAGATCAGTGAGTTTGAAATTGCAGATGTCTCCTGATTTTATTTTACACACAAGAAAATCCCTAAGTATAAACATACTCTTTGGTTTCTTTGTGTAGTAGTTTTACTTTTAAAGCTGAAAGGTGTTTTTGTTTGCTGGTTTTTTGTTTGTTTTAGGTTTCTTTGGTTTTTTTTTGAGGGGGTTGGTTGTTTGTTTGGTTTTTTACTAAAATGTTATAATGAGGGAAAAATCCAGAAGGTAATTCTGCAGTAGCTCATGAATGGTGGCTTACTCTGTAACTTATTGTGAGCCTTCTCTGTGTGGAGATGAGAATTTGATTTGGGTGAGCAAGTCCAAAATGCATAGCTGTACAGGAAACAAAGCTGAGACCATGTATTTACCATCATTGTTTGCCAGTGAATTACTAGGTCTATTAGTGAATTTATTAGTTTTAGCTTTGAAAGCATAGGGAGTTTTGTTCCCATTAATTTTAGTAGTGTGTTCAACCCTTTGCACTTGCAAATGACACCTGCCATTTTCACATACTTTGAGTGTTCTTTGGATGGTTCCTAAAGCTACAGATCTGAAATAACACCCCCCAAGGACTCTTCCATACTTGATGTATAGTCTGAGTTGCTGCAATTGTGGTGTAAATGAGAAGCTTCATGACAGCACTTGTGTCAGTTATTTGGTCCTCTTGCCACATTGACAATGCGCTTCACATTCAGCTCTTATCACTGCTAATAGTGATTGATAGTTTCCACTGCAAGCCAAGGGTCTTCCTGCACAGCCTGATGCTGAGGGAATGGTAAAGGATGCAGAGCCAGAAAAGAGGAATGATCTGATTGCAGGTTTTGCACCTTGAACCAAATCAAACCTTTATGACATTACTATCTGAGATATATATTTTCTGTGAAATGAAAGCTCTGCAAAACACAATACTAGTAGGTTAAAGGCTGGGTTTAGTTCAAAGCTAAAAAGCTATATGTATATGTGAATATATTTATATATGTAACTTGACATTTAAGCGCACTGCATACAGGATATCAGCTTTATGTTTGCAGCCTGTGAGAGATTTACTACTGTTACCTAAAAATATGTCATGGCTTTGAAAAGACAGACCAAAGCTCTGGCATCTGGTAGTTTGCAGCAGCAGTATCAGCTCTCACTGCATGTACCGGTTGTACACCATGCTTCAGACCAAGCTGCTCTTGAGCCCTGCGCGTGCACAATGCAAGTCAGTGCTGCTTTCTGCTTGACCTCATTTCTTGGTGCTGCCCATGGCATGTGTTGACACGTATATGAGCAGTTCAGAGCCCTGTCTCTTGAAAACACACACATGGACAGCAGTGGTGTGTGCTTCTCACTGCACCAGTTGAGTGGTACACTTCAGTCTAGGGTGTTTCTACTGTGTGCAACATCCTTTTGAGAAGGGGGGTGGTTGTTCAGTGGGTGCATATGTGGTACATGAGCATTTCTTATCTTGAGCACTGCTCAGTCTCTAACAGATCTGTTGGGTGGCAGATTGTGATTCTTGCCTATGTCTGCAAGTGAAAGCTTGGCCATCTAAGGTCCTTGCAAACAGCTCTGTGATTCTCTTCTAGTTTCAGTGGCAATTCTTTGCATGTAGTTGATATGAAGTGCTCTGTTTTTCAGGTAAGATAAAGCAGGACATTGTGTATACATCTGTTTCTTCTCAGTATGGTTTGAGTAGACTGGGCACTAATAAGCTGGGTGGCAAACTTAATTCAGTCTCCAAATGTTGCAGGTTTATTTAGAGTCAGAAATGGAGGC